ACACAGACACACACACACACACACACACACACACACATCGTCGTCTGCCCATAGAGAAGGAATACATACTGAGGAAGCCCAAGAAAGATGCTCCATGCCGTTTTGTGATGACCCACCAGAGATTCAACTAGCATGTGGTTCACATGCCTTGTGCCGTGAGGATTATGAAGGTATAGTCCATGCGAGTTTTTGCTTCCATACGTACGATGACAGTCAGTACTGTACTCATGTATGGCACCCCGACATGTCATGTCCAATTTGTAGACGGGCTGGAACGGCAATGCCTCTATAATTGTGGTCGACGTGCCTCTGTGTTCCTAGCATGTACGAGCCACATAGCCTGTTGTGACATCTGTCTGCGCCGTGCCATTCGATGCAGCAACTGTGACTGTGAAAATTGGATGTGGTGCTTCCATAGCCCACACCCGAACCGGTCCTGTCCGGTCTGTAGGGGGTGGCCACTCGCCATAGTTTGTTTGTTTGTTGTTGTTGTTGTTGTTGTTGTTGTTTTTTTTTTTTTTAATTTTTTTAATTTTAAGTCTGCTTCAGCGGTGAATATTTAGAAATCTGTGAAACCCGTCATACACCTTTCCCCTGCTCTTTGCATGTCATATTCTATCCTGCCCTCCTGTTGCCCCTACCTCCCCTGCCTCATATTCCTAGAGAACTCCGCCTTCTACCCCTTACCCTCCACCCTCCCCTCCACTCCCCTTGTACTACTAACAAATACATACGAATGAGCATCATTAAGAGTATAGACGATATGAAGATCAGAAATGAAATGAACGGAAGTATGAAGATGAAGGACGGACACAAAGGCTATATATAAGCTGAAGATCTGAAGTGAAATGAACAGGAGTATCAAGCTCTGAAGAGATGCACAGGAGCATACCTTCCCTTTTACTCTGCCTCCTGAAATAACGTGCAAGGGGGCCGTGAAGGCACACGGGGATGTGGGCAGCTGCCGCTCAAACACAATCAATGTGGGCAGCCTTGTGCGTAAGAGGCACAGTAAAAGGGAAGCTGCAAGAACAATGAAAGGGGTACCCAAGGACAACCAAAAAACTGTCTAATTATAAAATTGCTTTAATATGTTGGACATCTCAAATGCTCTCGTTGTCTGCAATAGGACAAAGACTGCTTTGATTCTGAATCTATCTATTCACCTGGGTGGAATTGGGGCTGTTGTGGGGAAAATCTAAAACACACACACACACACACACACTCACACACACACACACACACACACACACACACACACACACACACACACACGCACGCACACAAACCCCAGCTAAACACAGTTCTAAACACTTCTATATGGATTCACGTTGCTTGCTAAAGAGGTGAAATTTTTTACTGTTGAGCTGGCTCAACTCGTATCTACTTGTCTGGATGGAATAGTGGCTGTTGTGGTGCAAGTTTTAAAAAACACACACGCACAAAAAAACAAGGGGCACATCAACAGTGCGCGCGTATGGGGGACAGTTGCGGGTACTTCTTCAGTATGAGAGCACTGCCCACGACTCGCCACATAGGTGTGCCGCAAGTATGGTCTACCTCCTTCCTCGTGTCACACTGAAGGTGTTACAATGGATCCACTTCCATGTGTTAAATGACGAATCATGTGGTTGCTGTGTTTGTTCTGTGCAGTTATGGGATCTGCAGTGTCGAAACAAGTCAGTTTGTGCAACTACTATGACTGGGCATGAAGGAGATGTGTATACTGTGAAATTCCACCCATCGAATGTGAGAATTCGTCACAGCCCATTAAAACCTCTTAATACTCTTATTTCCATGAATTTGCCTGATATGTCTGTTGAATCTGTACATTCTGATGAATTTGTATGATCTTTTTGTATCATCCTCGATATGAACCGGTTTTCTCTACCTGCGGTCGCTCAATGGACCCGGCGTGTATTCTCAGCGATAAAAAAACTGTATACAATTGGTACCTCTCCCTACGTGGCTCATGGTCCTTGGATGCAGACACTGGAATTGAACATAGGCCATTGGATCTCTGTAAGACTTGCCAGTATCAATCATGAATGCAGCCACTAATGAACAAGTCCCAATGACAGAGATTTTATCATCCCCACCATCTCCCTCGTTTCTGTTCTTTGAGTCACTTGTTTGGGGCTCTGCGATTACTGGCAGTCTCAAGCTCGCATGAAACGCCACCCCTTCAGTCTTTCTGTTGCTGTGTGTGTGTGTGTGTGTGTGTGTGTGTGTGTGTGTGTGTGTGTGTGTGTGTGTGTGTGTGTGTGTGTGTGTGTGTGTGTGTGTGTTTGTGTTTATGTGTTTGTAAAAATGAGAGTGTGTAGGTTTTTGTGTGCTCGTTTTTAAGGATCCTCAGAAAAAAAGACTAAGAGTTAACACGCTAAATTGTCGGCAAGAAGTACAGTATTAGCATCTGATTAAGAAGA